ATCAGAATAATATATGTGCGAACTCATTGATGTTGCATATGTGTAAGTTGCCTGGTACATACACTAACATGACGTAATTGCCAATGGTTGATCACTATGTAAATGTATGTTGTACACAAAAAAGTAAAATAGCAATGCATCCAACATAAAATATATTAACATCAGTTCACCATATTTAATACAATTCTATAGAAAATAAAAAATAGTAATTAAAAACTATAAAGAGACAAATGATGTGACCTTGAAAAAAGAAATCCTAAAAATGAAAAATGTTAAGAATACTAAATACTATTTAAAATTACTACTTAATTATAAAACTATTTTTTTCATTAATCGTTTAATACCATTGATAAATAAAAATAAAATCATACTATTTAAATTACTATACAATCACTAAAATATTTAATTTTTAAATAATGAAAAGTAAATAGCTTATACATTTTAAGACATCCTATTTTACATCAGCTACACGACTGCTACAAGTCTACAGTTACAGTTTATAGTTAAAAGAAATATAACATAATAACTACCATTTAAATGTATTTAATATCCGTAATATATCAGAGTAAAATATTATGAATGAGTGAGCTAGTAAAGAAATTTATACTAAATAAATACTACATTTGACCCGTATAAAAATATCTTAATCTTTAACAACAAAAGATAACCTTAAACCTATACAAATCGAAATTTAACTGAATGATATATTGGATATATTTTAAGTTAATTTTTAACTATATACATTCAATAAAATCAATAAATTAACAATAATTGAATCAACTGTAAGACAATTAAACATAAAAATTGTTACTTATCAGTTATTAATGACAAAACAAATAGGGAATTAAATAAACATTAAATGTACATTATAATTTTTAATATTATATAGGTACGTTTGTTAAGTGGTGTTCGGCCAAAAATTTTTTTTTTTTTAATACATCTACGGTATAGAATGATAATTTATTAATTTATAATTAAGAAAAATAAGTATTGATATTTTTTTTTTATTATATTAAGACTAAAAAATGCTAGTCTAAGCTTCCAAGAGTAATGAAAATGCTTGATTTTACAATATATTTTATATTATTCATTTATATTTATAATTTACGTAACATTGAATTACTATTTTTTTTTTTTTTTTGCAATATTAAAATTATAATAATAAACAAACCAACAAAAATCTTAATTTAAAACATACGAAACTATATTCTATTTATATGTTATCGTTATAAAAACCATGTTATCATAGCAATATTTTTTTATCTATCAGGATAACCGATACTAACGAATTATAAAAAAAAATTGTGCTATAGTGGTATATAATATATATTATATATTGAGATAGTCTACTTATTATTTATCAAGCTATAATGTTACACGTTTGAAATAATTAACAGGTAACATATAATTTAATGAATATAAAAAATAATTTAAATTTATATGCAATGGTTAAATTATAACAAAAATTCAATAATTTGTTACATATTTAGTAAAAAAAATTAATGAATTGTCATTTTTAATTTAAATGTTTGATAAGATAGACGTCTAATAACGACCTTGTACATTATGAGAATGAGAGGTGCACTACAGGTGAAACGCAAACACAAAATGCCGCCCGTTATTAACGTTATGCGATACATCCAATGATAACAAATAATTTGACCTCAAAAAGAAAAAATCCATTTGGTACGTTATTTACGTATTTCATTCAAAGTATCATGCACAATAGTATAAAATATTGAAAATATTTCTGGAAAAGTTTTAAAGTAATAGCTGAATAAACAAGTTTACTTTTTCTTTGAGAACCAAATACATTATTATACTACGAAAGTAAAATATTAATATCCACTGTTTGTTTAAATTATAAATTATAATTATCTATAATAATTAATAAATAAACATTGTAGATACTAACCTACAACATTTTTCATACAATTATTTAATTTAATACATTCAAACTTTAAAAGTTTAATATGATATAATTATAAAAATACATTAATACATAATATTGTAAAATAACGAGTTTTATTCAACTATTTAAATATTTTAAATAATTTAACTCTCACAATAAAAAAAAATAACTATTAAGTAAAAACATTTTAACCTTAGTACTTGACGAAGTGGTTAATAATTATTAAGTTTATCATTATTTCACTGTATTACATTTATACACATTTATCTGTATAAACAATACGTTAATACTAAACAGTAATCAAGTAATCGATATTTGATAGTAAGTTATTATTAATAAACACAATAATAGTACGCATATTAATGCCTAATACTTATAGTTGGAAGATTTCAATCAAATCACATTATTTTTTAATTTGATAATATCATTATAAATTTGAAGTTAATAATAAATTATATTGTTTAAATATATGTAAAAACTTTCTCTATAATAAAAGTATAAAAAAAAAAAACCATTGCTCCGTAACAAATTATTTTCATTCGACATTATATTGTCCTTGACACAAACTAAACACACATCATATATACAAGCAAATTATTTTCAAAAAAATAATATACACGAAAAAATTAAGTACCAGTTAAATTTAAAAAAAATGTCCAACAAAAAAAATCTAGGAATACTAAACTAAAAATCACAACATAAATATTTTCCAATAATTGTTATAATATGAAAACATTTTATTCAAAATAAATGATACCTACCATTTATAAGTTATGTAAATCTTTAATTTTTCTTTACTTTTTTGACTATTAAAATATATAAAATATTTTAATTGAAAATATTGATTACTATAATTATATCATAAATAAATAAATACATAAATAAATCATACCTACATATGTATGTATATACATAATACAACGCGCAACAGTAGGAAACAGTTTAAAATCGACCAAACCCTGTTGTAAAGCTATTATTTATTGAATTTTATAATTTTTTTTTTTTCACGGGTATAATAAAGGAATACATCGACTAGGATAATGTTACTTGGTACCTCCCTAAAAGGAACGAAGAAATGCTACCTAAACAAACCACTTTCACACCGGAAATCCAAATATTATATATGGTTAATATTCAATAAAATATTCAAGGTGGGAAAAAACCAAGGGATCATTTTTGAAACCAAACACGTGCATACTGTAAATTAATACTGAACAATACATATGACACATTATCTAATAATATTCAAGAATAATGAAAACATGATAATTCTGGAATATACTAGTAGTACACTATTATAATCTACAAATATTTAAAATAGTAATAGTTTATTTTAGTGGAAGATGTTGACGCTATTCAAAAGTGAAATAAACAATAGTTTATATTTACGGAAGATCATTACAAAAAATATATATTTTATCAAATAAATAATGCATTAAGTTAATGCATGTGAAATTGAAACTCGAAAGCTATTAATCTAACTTGTTTAATTCAATTTTTTAATATAATTATATTCTTTATATATAATTATACTCTACTCAAGTAAAATAATTATAAATATTCAAAAATAAAACGGTTATGTAGTCCGACGTTTTAACGTAATAATTAATAACTATTGTGAACAATCAAGAAGCCATGTGTTTTTGACTAATTTAAAACACGTCTTTATTTGACTGTTATACATTTATTCAACAAAACATCATACTAAATAAAAAATATTAAAAACACATTTAAAAATAAAAGAATTTTATATAATATGTTAGCACAACATTTTAAACATTTAATTTCTATACAAAGTATACTTCTGATTTACTATTACTATCTAATATTATTTATACACATAAGTGTATAAATTATGACTTTTTTTTTAATCTTTTGGGAAAGATGGGTGATAATATTATTAATTTGTTAATTTTTTCTAAAATGATTGCATCGTAAAAAACCGTTTAAAAACTTTAAACACTCAGATAATCAATGGATTCATTATTTTGGAATCATCTGCTCAGTAAGTAACAACAACTGACATCAAACGTGTTAAACATATATGTATATATTAATACATACAGTAAATATAGGCATACTGAAATATAATACTGAAAAGGTTATTGTTCGCCGTGTAAACCATGTGCAACTCTTAAATATTTTATTATAACATTATTCACCGATTGAATTGACTGGACACAATAGGACTATCACTACTACGAGGTTCGTTCAACTTGCAAACTCGGCGATTGGGTTTAAAGATGGCCAAACATTCAAGTTACAACACCCTGTAATTTTTGTATTACATTTGGTTACCCTATATCTTCTACACTAAATTATACCAATGTTTAATATTGTATTAATTAACCGCGCTTTTATATGTGTAGTGTGAAACACCGATAACACATTACAGCATTAGGCATATAATACAAATCATTTATTTAACTTTTTTAATTAAGAAAAATATAATAACATAAATATTAAGTATACTGATATTTATGACACTAATGTATACATATAGGTTAATGCTATTCAATTAATTATAAATAAATCAATCATATTCCTAATAGTAAAACCAATTAAAGTTATACAAGTGACCAGATAATAGACAAATTAATTTCAAATTCATTATTCGAATTTATAATTTAATATTTGTTATTATTACTTTAATATAAATAAAATTACTTTTCATTTGTTCCATAAGTTACAGGAACAATATACATACATTATAATTTATTTTAATTTTAAATAACTAAAAATTTAATAAATTAATATATATTATGTATTAATTGAACATGGATTTTAATTTCAGGCTAATAATATGAAAACCAAATAAGTATATTCTCAAATACAATCGAAAATAGAAAATGTGTTTACTTTATTTTAAACGTATTTATTTCATTTCAATTTTATTTTAAGCATACGTATACCTAAAACTAGAATTATTAAAAAAATAAACAAATATTTTAAGGAATCAACCGGTTAATATTTTAACTAATATTATCATTGATCACATTAAGCTATCCAGCCCATTCAATAATACACACCCAACGCACCGAGGAGATAGTTAAAATCAAAATAAATCATTGGAAAATATTTCGGTTACCTCTTTTTGTCACAGCTTTTTTCTTATCCTCCGCCTCAATTTTTTTCTTGTCGGCTTGTACCTGTTTGCTTTCTATATCCTTCTGTTGGTTTGCCATCGGAGCTATTTTTTTAATATCCATAGGTTCTTTTTTTTGCAACGGCGGCTTTTTGTCGTTCACAGCAAGTTGCTGTTCGGCGATATCAACGCTTTTACCGTTTTCGACGGACTTTCCTCCATCGGTGGAATTTACGCCATTCTTGTTGTTGCCGTTAAACACCACGTTTTCATTAATGATTATTGTGTCATTGATTTTTATGTCAGATGTCCGGCGACGTCGAAACGAACCGCTAAAGAAACCACGCTTTTTAGACGTCGGAGTCGCAGTTACGTTCCCGTCCATTTTGTTGCCGCCGTGTTCGACGAGCACCGGCGACAAACCGCCTTTCGTCATTTTCTTCAAGTTAAACGAAAAATTGAAAGTGATGACTTTATTGATAATTTCTTCAGCGTCAATGTGAGCAGAGACAGTACGTTATTTCAATCCACTGTCACTTTAATAGTAATTATATGCCCACAGTTCGAATAATTTAAAATATCAACAAATCGCCATATCTAGCAAATTGAAACACATCGCGGATATCGCGTTAGCAATTTGAAAACATAAATAGCATTAATAATCAAGACCTGTCCAAAAACTAAATCGTATGGATATGTACCTACAGCTTTTTTCTTAAGACATTTACATAAATTATAGATATAAGAAAATATAAGATTTTTAATTAGTACTCTACACAACTGTATGTTATTTGATAGTTATGTAATGAAATATGTATATTCACACCAATCAAACGTGATTTAAACAATCATATTCTGGAAATACGTTATTAAATCCGATATTGAATAAGTGTTAATAGATAAGAATGATATACATATATGTATTATAGTCTAGGAAATTTTTACCTATTTTATATTATTAATAAATGTACCTACTCGATGATAATTATTTTTTATTGATTTTATTTAACGACATATTTTAACACTTAACGATTTTAATGATGATCGCACCACATCAAGTAATAATTATTAATACGCACCGTTTATAACATTTTATGTAACAACATAAAACTGTGTAAACATTAATAGAAAAAACCTGTCCTGTTAAGAAAGAGAAAATTATAAAAATAGAACAGCATTGTAAAATCTAGTTCTACATCTTTAATTTTTGTATCAAATTTATAGTTAAATTTACAAGAAAATCAAATTTATAATCACACAAAATTAAATTAGAAAAAAAAATTCAATTCTTATTTATCATTCAAAATATATTGGCTTATAGTTTATACATATATTGGTATAATACAATTAATTTTTTCTTCCATACAGTTACTTTAATATATTGATATATTTATCATATTAAATGTTTTTGAACAGGTCAAAATTTTATTATTGATTCACATACGCATAAACTATAACATACCGATTTTGAACCGAATCACGACGTATGCACACATGAAAACTAAACAGCGCCCGACCGCGGTTACTCAACGATTGAAAGAAGTGCCTATAGCAGTATTACAATAGTAGCGGCGGCGATATTTAGACGGGAGTGGGACCACGTAGTTTAATAGCTTTGAATATATATAGTTGATAGTGGGAAGTAGGCAGGGAATAATATGCCGGCTCTACTGCAGCTGACGGGGGAATAACATTAGAATGAGTGTGCGCTAAAAGTATTCACTTTTTGGTTTCTATAACGATATATGGCGCTATTATACAAATGGTTCCATGCACAAACGTTATAGTATTAAAATTTTCAACAATATTAATATACCTAACATGGCATACTTTATATAGTTTATATTATTTTACTAGATAAATAAATTATTTAATATTATATAAATCTAACAATACAAAAATTACTTAATAAAATATTCAAGTAGTTGAAAAATTAATTTAATACAGAAAAGGACCGAATAATGAAATTATTTACTTGAATAGTACACATAGGAAAATTCATAAACGTAATTCGAAATTCTTAACAAAAATACACTAATACCAATATAATATTTATTTACAATAAATAATAATAAAAATAGGTGAAAATCAATCTTAACTTTTAAATTACGTGGTCAGAATTCATAGTGAATGTATGTATCGTATATACTGTAATACTTCATATAACTCAACTCTCAAGTATACAATGGTATTAATAACATAATAATTGTGGCTTATATTACCGTTATATGTGCAGTAGATCGGAAACAATTTTAAGTGGTTTGTTTTACTTACCATACTGCAGTGAACAAATACATTTTCTTTGCACTCAAATATTATGTAATTAATTTTTATACTTTTTTACTTAATAATATTTGAGAAATAGTTTAGCAACTAATATTTATTAAAATGTTATAAAATATTTTAAATTATTAAAAAAAGATAATCATTTATATTTGAACAAATGACAATCTTACAACCAAAATACATAAAAAAAAAAATGTTGTATCACTAAATACCAATACGTTGTGTTAATAAGTTGTACACTATGTGCAGTGTGCACTAACTAAAACTCATATAGTAGTATTACAACTACTAGTGTATAATATTGAATGTTTAATATACTTCACAACAGACAAATAAGAAAATTTAGGAAATTCAAATAATAATTTCATTACCAAAACCCATGTTTTAAAAAATAAATGTTCGTTGTGCAATATAAAAACAATAATAATACAATTAAGATTTGTCTCAATACAACATAAATTAATAAGCTGTTTATTGTTGAGTATTCATAAATAACTATAGCTAATAAGATAACTTCAATGAAATATTTAAAAAAATATATAATGCAGAATATGAGTACATACATACATGTGTACGTGTATAAGATGTACGAATCATACGTAATAATGAAATTTAAATAATTATCATCAATTACTAAAATTAATTATCAAATAAAAACTAGTTTGGTCAAATATATTTTTTAATGCAATTTGTTTATTTACATAAACACATATTAAAGTTTATTACCTTCATTCAAGCACACATTTTTTATGTTTAATATTTTAAAAATAATGCGTTTTTATTAAATATTTTAAGTTATGCTTTACCAAATTTCACCCACGGACAAGTTCGGAAAGTAGATATAGAAAATGCAACAGCGCTCCTACTCATAATCTATTTATTGTTTTGTCTCACAAGATAAAATTATAAATTTAACTCTCTAGTATCCATAATACATATATTATACGGATATCACATTAAGCTCATTCCGTCTTTTAATAAATTGAATTAGAAACCACGCACCAAAAAATGGATTATGCAAGTGAATGAAAAATAAATAAACAGTTACAAGAAAAAAATTTATAATATTTAAGTATATACCAACGATTAGAACCAAATTTTAAACTTAATTACTAAATTACATTGCATAAGTAGTTATAATCTGGGCACAATTACGAGTTTTCAAATGTAACATATAATTAAAAATAAAAAATAAAAATCTTAAATATGTACCAAATTATTTATTAGTATACATAATAAAAAAAAAAGGTATAATGTTATATAATTATAACATAATATAACGAAGGAATGTCAGTGTGACGAATATTTTCGAGTAATTTATGTTTGTATTGACATGATTAATGACAAAAATAAATATTATAAATGCAATGAATTCATTAAACAGAGGCCTAAACACGAAATAGTGAAAAGAAAATTATAAATATAAATCTTTTGCTATTTCATATTGAATATGATTTAAAAAAATATTAAGTTACCTAATAACTTTCTATTAAATAAAATAACTTTATTAAACAGAATAATTTACCAATAGATGACAATATGATCACTAGCATTTTTGTTCTTTTATTGGTTTATTACAATACGGTATTTTCATTTGTATACAAGTTATAAAATTTTTTAAAAATCTATATTTTACAAATACTCATAACTTGTTTCAAAACAAAAATATCGTATAAATCTAATGAGATAACACAGACAATATTCTTAGTTTTAAGTTGTATAATAGATCAATTTATTTTAATATTAAAGCTATCAACACAAAATTAAATTTGCTAAACGCATATTATGATATGTTATGTGTTAACGCAGGCGTAGACTGACTTGGATGCACATGTGCTATAGCTAGCGTTTCATTTATAAAATGCCCTTTTTATATTAAGCTTTTATACCTAAAAACTTGCTCTTTTATTATACCTACGAATCAAAAGTTAATAGGTAGTGATATGCAATATAGGTATTTACTACAATCTTCTAACTACTGAAAAATATTTAAAATTATCCATAAAGTTCAAAATGTATACCATTAATAAATATTCCATCCCATTCTTTTATATTCCAGACCATGCCTATGAATCAGTAAGACAACGGAGACAATACATGCGATGTCCTCTTCAATCTTTCAAATAATCATAACATACGCATATATTTTACAACCCACTATAATGGACCAATTAGACTTAGGAAGAAACACGTTGCTTCTGTCTTACTAACATATAACATAACAAATTTTTATTTAATAAAACTATTTTTGTTTTATTAACTTTAATATTAGGGTGAATTGATTTATAATCAAAGTGAAATGTTAAAACATTATTAAATTTATGCTTATACGTTGGTTTTTTTTTTTTTTTGATATTTTAATTTTTAAATTAGAAATAAGCATTTTTAACTACTTATTTACAACACTCAAAACTTGTTTCAAAATCCAACGCTATTACACAGATAATGTTCTTATCTTCAACTCTAATAATACGTCAATTCACTCTAATATTAAAGCTAATAACACAAAATTAGACGTTTTATTAGACACGTGTTTGCTATGTTATATTATATTTCTAAGACAACACTATGTAAAAGTAGTGTCTTCTAAATACACAAATTTAAATAATTTAAAAACGACTCGTTTGATTTTCAATTGAGATACCATTAACATTTTCAAAAAAGTAGCCTGATTAATAATTTAAGATAAAGAGGTTACTCATTTAAAAAAAGAGAAATTGTTAACGCTTCATACCACATTATAAATTAAGTATATAAAAATCGAAGTACTTGTATAAATAAGTATGACCTTTGTGTGTAAATTAATTTTAAAAATTTCAAAAATCAGATTTTTAATAAAATCATTAGAAGAATAATAAGAGGGGGTAAGCATACTTGATGAATCATATTGTATACTAAAAAAATATTATATGTTTATGTTTAACAATAGTATTGAACATTAAAAGAACTGAAGTGTATTAGGTATACCTGATTAATATAGTAAATATGAGCATCGACCACTTGAAAATAAAATAGTTGATACTTAATGGCTAACATTTAACACAACCAATGCAATTTCGACAAAATCGATCAATAATGAACATAATTAAGTCACCTTGGTATTGATCATGGAAAAAAATAAATATCCACTTGGTAAACAATAAATTATCACATTAATATATATTACTTTGCGCTTATAATGATCAATAAATCACGAATTGTGACATTTATAAGCAAACCAAAATCTTAAAATACATTCACACAATAAATTTTTATATTAATTATAAGTTATAACTATTAATTGCAAACTATATTATACAAATCGTATACATTTATGTCTTGATTTATGAACATAAAAACTATATATATATGGTAGTTTAATTGTTTATACTAAAACTTAAACATATGAAGTATAATATCAAATTAATTGAATTTGTCTAATTTAATTAATGCTAAAATAATTATCAAGAATTATGATAAATAACCAAATAATTAAGTATATTATACCATTGAATAAGCATACTTAATTATTAAATATAGTATTTACGTTTTTATAACTATATAATATATTTATGTAAATATATTTCATTTTAACATTATAATATTTTATAATGAATAAGTATAAAACTATTACATATAACTTTTAACTACTATAGTTATATAAGTAATTTATTAGTATAAAATGTTTTTAAACTTTTTTAAATAAACTTGTATCTATAAATTGTATTTAATTTATAAATAAATAGAAATTTATTTCTTAAACAAATAAAATGTTTAAGTTAGAACAATATATTTTTCGCAATGAATTTCTTAAATTGGAATACTAAGGAAATATCTTGACTGGAAGTTTCAAACTACATAAGTTATCAGACACGCACTTTTAAAAGCAGCAATAATAATTAATAATATATTATATAAACATCAAACAATCATATCATAATGTACAGTTTTATTTTCATACTGAAATATTTTTACCAATGTAGATTTCTACCAAAGAATAAGGGTCTTTTTCCTAGACAGTTGGCTACTAAGAGAAAGATATTACTCGAGGTTCTAAATCCAAGATAGTATACGCATTTAAACCAATGATGCCTAACAGCTTACTGCTTAGTCTCAGCTATTTCATTACTATAATACTCGTAAGTTGTAATATTAAGTATTACCTACTTAAAAACATTTTTTAATAAATATAGGTGAGATAGTTTAAGTAAATATTAAAATAATTACAGAAACAATAAAATATTAAACATGTATAAGCTGAAAAAACAAAATATAATACAATTAAACACTTTATT